CCTCAATCCCAGCTCGTACCCTCAAAGCCTGAAATTTATCATTCTGAATTTCCCGTAATTGACTATGTAGACACTCTATTTCTGCTAGGTCATACCTCCCGCCTGTACCATAACAATCCCTCAGCTGTCCCTCTAAATATTTTTGCTTCCCATATCTATAACACGCCTCCTCCTTCCCTAACCGTCTATAAAAACCCTGTATTGCATGTTTCGCCTTTGAATGCCACCACTCTACAACATCCTCTATCCCATTCCCGTTATTCCAGAAGTCAACCCACCATAACCTGAAAGCTTCCACAGCATCGACTCCTTGCAACAAGCTGACATTTAATTTCCAATAACTAGTAAATACACGGATAGCGCCCTCCCACTCCAGTGTTACCATAACACCACGGTGATCTGAGAAACCCAGATCAACACAATCGACCCTGCCACCACGGATTAAGTTGGTGATATAAACCCTGTCCAACCGCGCAGCGTAACCCCTTCTACAAAACGTATGTTCCACATTCCACCCGTCGCTACCCACCACATCCGCTACGCCAATCGCTTGCAATACCTCACGTAAAACCCTTAAATTACACCCCCCACCACGCGGTTCGACGTCTTTTTCCCGGATCACACATTTCCAATCACCTGCCACGACAGAAACTAAGGGTAGACTTCTGAGAAAATAAACCAAAACATCACGTACAAAATCCTCTTTTACTCGTCGATTTGTTGTCGCTGGCATATATACTCCCACGAAACCCACCTGAATGTTCCCCCACAAACCCACCACACGCACAACCCGGCCCCCTCCGCCCCACTCCCATGCTACAAGCTTAAAAGGGCTGGTCTCCCTTATGCCTATCACAACCCCACCTTTGAGATTATCCGAATTTCCCGCATAGCACTTATACCCTTGCACACGTAATTCACTACCACACCGAAAATTGTGTTCCTGTATAAAAAAAACGTCAACATTCATACGTCTGAGCGATACCTCTACCCAACGTCTCTTGACCTCTGCTCTGAGGCCATTGACATTCATTGTTATACACTTGAACTCTCTGGTTAGGTTTTCTCATTTCGTTTTCCCATCACCTTTATACCTGACTTGGACTTGCCACTGCTGCACCTGCCCGTTTTCACCACACTCCCACTTAACTTCTCTAAGGGGGGTCCCTTAACTCCCTTGGCTACGTCAGCCCACACCATTTTACCAGACCTTTGACCCGGTGTTAAGACATCGTCCTCCACGTGTGTACTGGGCCTCTTCCGTGACACTCCCTCATAGTCCATAGACCCATCGCTGTCTGTTCTATGTACCTCGACATCCGTCACCACCACAGACGTAAAAGTCGTACGCCTATCTTCACCGCCCACACCATGACCATGGTCAACCACAGGCGACACCGCTAATGTAGGCGGTAAACCCTCTGTCGCCGGGCTATCGAGGATCCTCTGTAAGTCTTCAAAACTGGGCAATATCAAGGGCGTTTGTGCCTCCTCTTCCACCTGAGGTGACGCACTGTCCACGCACCCAATCGCCTCGATCTCCGACGCTGGTGGTAGCGTCGAGACGATCCCCTCTGCAGCATCCACTGCTTCACTCCACTTTACATCGCTGGTAAAATCTGCAGCACATTGTCCACCATTGTGGGCTTCTGATGGCCCAGCTCACCCTCCTCCATCGTATCTTTGGATGCAGTGTCTGTCAGGTCCGACCGTTGTTTCCCTCGTCGGTGCTCACAAGACGCCGCCATATGACCCGTTGCACCACACAGGCGGCACGTCCGAACCTGGCCCGGATAGGTTACGTAGACCTGCGTCTGAAAATCTTCCAACATGACAAACGAGGAATTGGATGTCTCAATGTTATTTTCATAGAAAAGGAACCTGCGAGCATACCAGCATAAAAACCCTGGGACCAACGCCCAATTTGGACAGCTTGTACGGTGCCATAGCGCCCAAAAGTCCGACGGATGTCCACCTCGTCTGCCTCGAAGGGGATATTACGTAGACGAACCCACGTATAACTTGTCGATACATCACGCAGGCGCACCTCCAGACTAGCGTTGATAACAATTCGTTTTTCTTGAAAGGCATCCACAACACTCACATACGCAGCAGACGACACAAATTTCACAAAAATTCTTGCGTTGCCGTTCAGAGAAATCCCATATAAATCCTCACGTGGGATTCCATACGTATCTCTTATCACAAGAGGCAGAATGACGTCAGCGGTGTCCTGGTATATTGCACCTTTCAATAATTCCACACAGACAGTGTTGACTCTTTTCCTGCGTTCCGCCATCTTGAGAAAACAAAACTTCTCAATACAGACACCAGAGGGCACCAGCCGCACGCTCTGCGTCCGCCCTCACCAACAGCTGGGTGAGAACTGGATAGGTTATTGGAAAGGATCGTGGGGCGTCTAGGTGTTCTGAGACCCCAGCACCTAACTCTTATACAGCGAGTGATAGTCGTAAATATTTTATTGTATAGTAAGATTTGGCATGTCGCAGCTGTGTTCCCAATTACAGGGACAGCGATTGCGGGGATCTTAAGACGGGTGTACAAATTTTTGTGGGGTTCATGTTGTGATTGGTTACGGAGGGAAGTTGTAATGTTACCTGTAAGTCAGGAAGGGTTGGGGTTGATGGATTTGAGATGGAGGGCTAATTGTGTGTTTATTAAATGGGAAGTGTTGCGTGAGGGTGTGAACGCGGGGCAGTTGGGAAGGATACACGACAGGCTGGGTATGTGGTATCGAGGAATGGAGTTGAGGGAATGCGAAATCGTTTTGAGGGCTGTGATGTTGGTTAAGGAACTGAGAAAGGTTCGTATAAGGGTTTTGTGTAGGTTACTTGTAGGTAGGTGCGTTGTCCCTGTTGAGGGTTTGTTCCCCATGTATGCGTGGAAGAGTATTTGACTTAGATTTAGTAAGATGAAGTTAAAACCTCGGGCGCGTGAGGTGATGTTTCGCTTTCTGCATGGGATCCTTCAGTCTGGTGAGATACTACGAAACAGACAGGTTGTAGAGGGTGGGGGGTGTGGTATCTGTGGAGGGGATGAGACAGCGTTCCATGTAGTTTACTTTTGTGAAGGGCTAGAGGAGGTCAGGTGCTGGTTAAGTAGGTTCGTACTGAGGGTGGGGGGTCGGTTTCGCGTGCTTTAAGTCTAGATATGGGTGGGTTAGACGAGGGTGTCATAAGAGCTTTAGATTATATCATGGTAGATATATATATATATATTATATATATATATATTATATATATATATATATTATATATATATATATATATATATATCGTGGGTGATGAGGGGGAGAGGGGATAGTGAAGAGCGAAGAAAGGTTCTTGCGGTAATGTTCTGTCGTACGATGTGTCGTAACAGAGATTTGTATGGGAGGAGGTGGGATCAGGCTTTCTCAGAGGGGTATAGAATGCTAACGTTAGGGATTCTCGTGACTCTGTGAATGATAATGAGTGAAGGGGTTTTCATAGGTTGGAGTCAGGGGGGTCACAGCGGGTTCGCCTCCTTGGCGGGGAGGGGTCGTGAGAGTGTTGTGAATGTGGGTTTGGAATGGTTTCCTGGTTTTCATTGAGATTTTATGGCGTCCACCTTGTGGTTATCTTGCCAAGTGTGGATGTAGAGCTCAAAGTCTCGTTATGTTCTATATAACTTATTTCTCATCAACTTCACGTCATCTGCAAACAGGGACACCTCAGAGTCTATTCCTTCCGTCATGTCGTTCACAAATACCAGAAACAGCACTGGTCCTAGGACTGACCCCTGTGGGACCCCGCTGGTCACAGGTGCCCACTCTGACACCTCGCCACGTACCATGACTCGCTGCTGTCTTCCTGACAAGTATTCCCTGATCCATTGTAGTGCCTTCCCTGTTATCCCTGCTTGGTGTGTGTGTGTGTTGTGTGTGTGTGTGTGTGTTGTGTGTGTGTGTGTGTGTGTGTATGTTGTGTGTGTACTCACGTAGTTATGGTTGCAGGGGTCGAGTGTGTGTATACATCAGCACAAGCATGATAACTGCCTGGTATTTAAGCTTTCTTGTAATAACTCTCTGCATGTTATCAGTTGTCATGTTAAATGTTCTCTGTGTTTGTTTGTGATAACTCTAACCTGTTATCTTTTCGGTTATAAATTAACCTAAAGTTAATAATAATAATAATAATAATAATAATAATAATAATAACAATATTGATAAAGCGAGTCCTCTGGGTGTTTATACAGTAATGTGTATATATGTGTATATCTATACATCTGTATAAATACATGTGTGTATACCTTCATATACACAGCATTCCTTACCTGTGTATACACATGGGTTAACATCAGTGTATATTCAAGTATACACCGATATACTTGCTGTGGTTAAAGTATCTGTGATTGCAAGTGTATAGATGGTATACAGCAGTAGACAGGCTTCAAACTTAACAAAACCACATATGTGGCAGAAATATACGTGGTAAGACGCATGTGTAACTCCTGTGTGTGTGTGTGTTGACGTCTATTGTGCTCCTAGGTGCTGCACATGTGTTGTATCTCCTTGAGGGATTTGTATACCTTGAGTTGTATACAATACCGACTACTTGATGATTTTGACACATGAAGGCACCTAGGTGTTGCACATGTGTCTTGTTAAACTGGATATACTGCTGGTGCTAACTCCAGCTGGTGCTGCCGCAGTTAGTGCTGCTGCAGCTGGTGCTGTTGCAGTGTCTGTTGCCGCAGCTGGTGCTGTTGCAGTGTCTGTTGCCGCAGCTGGTGCTGTTGCAGTGTCTGCTGCTGCAGCTGGTGCTGTTGCAGTGTCTGCTGCTGCAGCTGGTGCTGTTTCAGTCTCTCTTGCTGTTATTGCAGCTGATGCTGCTGCTACAGTGTATGCTTCTGCAGTGTCTGCTGCTGCTACAGTGTATACTGCTACAGTGTCTGCTGCTGCTACTGCAGCTGGTGATGCTGCGGCTCTGGAGCTACATCTTAACCAACTCTTCTCACAGGTGGGATGACCATGAGACGACCCCAGCAGGTGGCGCCTCCTGACGGTGCGTCATTCTCCGCACTGGCACTGGGAGAGGAGAAGGCTTTTACTCTTACTCCCTATGGCTATTGGAATATCCATCTCACCCTCAACGACCTCACTGATCTAAAGATCTCCCTCACTATTCCAAG